GCAATATTCAACAACTACGACATGATGTTTTCAAATTCATGTTCTAAATTCTATTGCATCCCTTCAGTAATTTCATACACTCCCCTTAATTTTGATTAAGTCATTAATGCAAATACGAGTACAGAAAGCAAAATTGAGTCTTTTTGACTGGTCTACATTATGGGAATTGACTCGCTTAATAAGTACAATGAATCAAGATTATGTTTCTATAAACAGGGTAAGAAGACCAGATTTTTTACTCAAAATGAGAAAACAAAAATGACTACGCAAATATTCAAGGAACCAATATAAATTAATATGCTGCTATAAAAGATGAACCTACGAAAAGCAACATTTATATAAACGTAGACTAAGTAGAGTGTTTAATCACAAACCTCTAAGAATTCTCTAATCAGTAAAGAAATCAACAATTCGCCATTCCAAAACCCTCTTCACATTCACATATGAACCCTTTGAAGGTCTTGTTCATCGTTGTGGCCATCTCGGTGGCCTTATGTCCAACACTACTCCATTCTCGACAAATAAAATGTGTCCGGTTGGGTGAGAACTGCATCAAGGATGGAGCAGAAGAGACCATGAAGATGAAATCAGCTTTGGATGTGAGCCGTAGGATTCTCAAAGCCATACGATATATAAATTATGATGCATTGAAGCACGACGTACCAGCTAAACAACATGGTCAACAGGACCGACCGGATAACAAATACCGGCGAGGTTGTACTCTCGCTACCGGATGTTTACGCTTAACGAATTAAACACTAGTTTTTTATTTTTAGTGCAACACAAAAACAAAATATAGTTTTTTCACTTAATTCACACATTTTTGTGTTTATGTATTTTTATTACCTTTGATTGGAATCTTCAAAAACATTGAAAACTTTATTTCTATCTTCGATAACATCTAATTAAATAGGCAATTGTGCATATAACTATCTTCAATAACATTTAAATTTAAAATACAAATTTTATCCTAAGCCTACAAGTATATGTAGTGGGTCAAATATATATAATGCTTGGTATACAGCACAAACTGATGTTGTTATAGATTTAGTTCTGAATAGGTACACTAAAATTAATAAATAAACACATATATTTAGTTAGTATATATATTTAATAAAATATAAATTCTCTAAAAATTAGTTTTATTACTAACGTTATCGTACAAACAAAGTTTTCACTTTTTAAAACAATGAGCAGTATAGAAAATATAAAGTCAAGTGATACACAATAAGAAAAAAATAAGATACTTCTGCATATAAGAATCTGAAACAAACTCTTCAAGAAGATAATCAAATTATTAATTACTGGTAATGAACCACAATAAATGTAAAAATAAATTATAGACACCATTTTTTCAAAAAAATAATTATAGAATCTGTTTTACGATTATTACTTATTAATAATTGTTTTTTCATTTTTATAAACACTTAAAGATTAGCATTAAATGTTGATGCCAACTAATTTTGAAGATTTTTTAGTGTCATTTCGAGGATTATTCTACAATAGTGAATAGTCATCAATATATCACTGTAAGTTGCATTAACTCAAATAGATTATAAATATCATAAAGATTTTCTAACACCATAACTTAGAACTCAATTGTAAATAAAAAATGCAACCTCACTGATTTTAAACAAAAAGTATAAATCTTTGAATATCTATTATGTTATAATATTCATGTAGTATGTTTTCAGATTTTGTAACATAAATAATTTCTATCGCAATGAAATGGACATTATCTGTGATTAATAATTTGTTTACATGGTAATCTAATATATAAGATAAAAAAATATTTGGATCATAATTTAAATTTAACTATTCTTTATTCATTTCGCATTTGCTCATTTTACATATATTTTAGATAGTAAAATGATAAATTGTCAGTTTGACTCATTTCTAATTCAATATATGGTTTACATGTTTATAACAATGTAATATATGTATATTATATAAATTAGATAAATTGATATTTGTGTAATTCCGGGCGTAGCCCGAGTAAAATCTCTAGTCTAATTAATAAAAACGACAAAATAATCATAAAATCACCTAAATCGATCTAAATATCCATTTATTAATGTTTTTAAAAATATTATTTTAAATTTAATTAGTAATAACTAAAAATAAAATCACATAAATCATTCATATAATATATAAATTAATTAATATATAAACATATTATTTTATGCATCTTTTCATATAAAATAGTCAAATTGAAATTCAATAGGAAAAATATTTAAGAGTGTAAAATATAAAGCACCAGTTAAATAGTATATAAAGAATGCATGGATTAATATACATTTGTGGCTGTCGAACAAAAAAATGCGAATGCACGGATTATATTCTAAAAAAATGATATAATCGACGGTTTCAAGATAAAATAAAATTACTTACTATAAAGTATAAAATTATTGCGTTTAGCAATGTCATTTTTTAAATATATATTATCACTTATAAAAAATATATAAAAATTTGATTATTTTATAGCTTTCTAATATATAAAATATGGTTTGTAGTATTTTACTAGAAATATGATTTGTAATATATTATTACAATGGTATTTTATTATGATTGAAATACTACCATTTATTTAAAATATATCTAATAACTAAACTTTACCTTCAAATTTTTAAAGATAAAAATATCTTATGACACGTCAAAAAACTAACAAATATTACACTATAATAAAATTATAAAATTACTTTTATCTACGAATTTGTGGGCAACCACCTAGTTTAATATTAAAAAAAGAGTGCGTAAGTGTAAATTTCAAAAACCAAGTGGATCTCAGGAAAAAAAATCTCATGTTTTAATAGTATTTATTATTTGTATATTAAAAATTCAAACTTAACTACAACTTAAAATAAAATAAAATAATATCAATATCAAAATTATTTGGTGATCAGGAAATATTTGATTAAAAATTAAAATCTTTCCAAAACCATCCATATTAGATTAGGTTATATTTTCTATATCAATATTCAAAGCCAGGTAATATATTACCAAAAACAAACAAATCTGGATGGTAATCCTTTTTCCAAAAAAAAAAAAAGAAAAATATGACATGGTGTTTTCAAACTCGTGTTCTAAATTTTCTAATGCACCCCTTCTGTAATTTTATACACTCCCCTTAATTTTGATTAAGTCATAAATGCAAATACGGATACAGAAAGCAACATTGAGTCTTTTTGACTGGTTTACAATACGGGAATTGACTCAAAAAATAAGTACAATGAATCAAGATTATGTTTCTATAATTAGGCTAAGAAGACCAGATTTTTTACTCGAAATGAGAAAATGAAAATGACTAAGTCAAATATTCAAGGAATGAATCTGCTATAAAAGATGAACCTACGAAAAGCAACATTTATATAAACGTAGACTAAGTAGAGTGTTTAATCACAAACCTCTAAGAATTCTCTAATCAGTAAAGAAATCAAACATTCGCCATTCCAAAACACTCTTCACATTCACATATGAATCCTTTGAAGGTCTTGTTCATCGTTGTGGCCATCTCGGTGGTCTTATGTCCAACACTACTCCATTCTCGACAGATAAAATGTGACCGATTGGGTGAGAACTGCATCGAGGATGGAGCAGAAGAGACCATGAAGATGAGGTCAGCTTTGGATGTGAGCCGTAGGATTCTCAAAGCCACACGATATATAAATTACGATGCATTGAAGCACGACGTACCAGCTAAACAACATGGTCAACAGGACCGGCCAGATAACAAATACCGGCGAGGTTGTACTCTTGCTACCGGATGTTTACGGCTAACGAATTAAACACTAGCTAGTTTTTATTTTTAGTGCAACACAAAAACAAAATATAGTTTTTCCCTTAATTCACACATTTTTCTGATTATGTATTTTTATTACCTTTGATTGGAATCTTCAAAAGCATTGAAGAGTTTTGAAATATTCAAGTTTCAGATATAATCAAAGTTAAATCCAAAATTTTGAAAGCAAAACATTTAAAATAAATACTTATCTATACAGTTGGATAATTAAGGTAGTTATTTAAAAAATTACAAATTATTTTTAGATATCATTTAAGGATATTGAATTGAATATTAGAATTCCTTATTTATGTTTCAAATTTGTGATTAATTTAGATATTCTGATCGATATTTTGGATTTTATGGTTTTCTTTATACCGATTCGGGTTTGACTGAACACTTCAGATTCATATATGTTTTGCACCCTCCCTACAAGATCCATTTGATAAAAAAATTTATATATTTTGAACGTGTACATATATCATGTTTGTGGTTTGAGTTTGGTTCGTACTTTGGATTTACGGAATTTATACTATGTCGACTCCAAATAAAGATAAATGATGATTATAAAAGTTTTCACTGAAAAAATATCATGTGCTTTGATAATGCATGACAAAATCTAGTATTTGATTGAAACATGAACTACAAATCATACCAACATCATCCATAATGGTTTAGGTTTTATTTTCTATACTAATACTCAAAGTCAGGTTTTATAAATACCATAAAACAAACAAATCTGGATGGAATAACATGAGCAATATTCAACAACTATGACATGATATTTTTCAAATTCATGTTCTAAAATTTAATGCATACCGTCAGTAAGTTCATACAGTCCTCCTTTTAATTAAGTCATAAATGCCAATATGAATACAGAAAGCAACATTGAATTTTATTGACTAGTTTACATTATGCGAATTGACTCGGTTAATTTTTGTTTTTGATACAAATAAATACAGTGAATGGTAATTGTATTGGTGTAATTACGGTAAGTAGACCAGATTTTTACTCAAAATGAGACAAATAAAATTTAATAAGTCAAATATTCAAGGAACCATGTAATACAAATGAACATGTTGCCATAAAAGATGAACCTACAATAAGGAACAATTATATAAAGGTAGACTAAGTCGAGTGTTGAATTACAAACCTCTAAGAAGGCTCTAATCAGTAAAGAAATCAACAATTCGCCATTTCAAAACCCTCTTCACATTCACTTATGAATCCTTTGAAGGTCTTGTTCATCGTTGTGGCCATCTCGGTGGTCTTATGTCCAACACTACTCCAATCTCGACAAATAAAATGTGATCGGTTGGGTGAGAACTGCATCAAGGATGGAGCAGAAGAGACCATGAAGATGAGGTCAGCTTTGGATGTGAGCCGTAGGATTCTCAAAGCCACACGATATATAAACTATGATGCATTGAAGCACGACGTACCAGCTAAACAACATGGTCAACAGGACCGGCCAGATAACAAATACCGGCGAGGTTGTACTCTGGCTACCGGATGTTTACGGCTTACAAATTAAACTACATAAACACTAGTTTTTATTTTTAGTGCAACACAAAAACAATTTATATAAAAAAAAAACAATATTTAGTTTTTTTTCCTTTAATTCACATTTTTCTGTTTATGTATTTCTATTACCTTTGATTGGTATCTTCAATAACATTGAAAAGTTTATTACTATCTTCAATAAAATCTAGTTCACATAGGTAAAAAAAGCAATTGTACATATCAATAACCGAACTGTATAATTTCTACCATCTATTATATAATGAATGAATTGAGGAAACAAAACACAAGCTTCAGACTCTTAACGAAGGTTTACACATTTGAGTGAAAGGATCGTGTATTTTACTACATTTATTTTTAACCAAAACAATAGAAGGAAAATTTCTATTGTAGAGTAATAAACTCCCTCCGCTAATCCAAAAACGAAACATATCATTTGATCCAAAACTCAACAACAAAAATCGAAGGCTCTCACAGTAGATATTTCTCGACAACTGTCCGGCCAAACTTTTCTTGAACATCCTTGGGCGTTTCCACCTGACAAAATATGAAACAACGAGGTTTTTAACTAAAATCACCTTACAAAAAAAAAAAGTAGATTTTCCTGTCATTAGCTCATACTACTTACCGCATTTAACGCCTTCAATACTGCTTTAACTGTGTTGTATGAATTCCTTGAACCAATCACCTGAAGAAATTTAGTTTATTAAAACCAAATTTGAAAACGAAAACAAGAATCCGTGTTATATCAATCCGGATGAAGTAAAAATGCACACCTTAGATTTGATGTTCTTGAACCCCGCAAGGAGCAACATTGTTTTCACAACTCTCCCAGCTTTCATTCCCGTTGTTGTTGGTGCAGGCCATAAATATAACTTGTAGCAGATTCAAGTTTATAAATAAGTGGCAAGAATAGATCATGCTAGTCAAAAAGGGACTCAAACAAATAAATACCTTAGTTTTCTTGTAAGAAGTCTGTATTGCGTGTGCAATGGTGTGCTCCTCATGACGTTCTATGTAATGTAGATTCTGAAAGCATTTCTCATATGCCTGTTGGGGTTTGGTAGTTGTTAGAAATGAGACCATGAGAACTAACTAAAGACAGGATATCTAACTAAATACCACAAGCTGTTTAAAAGTTTTATGTTCTTTGGCCAATTCAAGAATTGAAGACATTTCATGCACAAACCAATACTAAAGAATCTTGTCAACCAACCTAAAGTGGAACATAAGCTTTTCACTGGTATCAGAATCACTTAATTGACCATCTTTTGCCACAACGAGATAAGTAACATATGTACATAAGACCTATAGTCTCCTCCATTCATTCTAAGATGACAAATGGTAATGTGAGAATACCTTCTGCATTGCAGCCTGGCCGGTTTCAGCTTTTGCTTTTGCGTACCCAATTACACCTTCGTAGTTCCCGCAGACCATCAAAGCAGTGTACCTTTCAACCCTACCACCCTAAAAAAAGCAGAAGTTTCTCTCTTTTACAACTGAGCAATTGATTTATCAGATACACAACAAAGAGAAATGTGAGACAACTATACCTTTGTAACCTTGGCAACTTTCTTAACATCAATTACATGCACATCATATCCCTGCAAAAAAAACAAGAAATAACCTGATCAGCATAAGTAATAGTGACAAAAGTATATGCCTATATTCATGGCATTTACTTTTCTGTATAAAGGTTGTCTTTTCTTCTCAGTCAAAGCATTTCTCTCCTCAGCCAAATCCCTAATCTCCTCTTCCAACCTCTTCCCTTTCTTCCCAAACGTATGATCAAGCTCAGACAACTTACTCTCAAGCTTCTTATCAATCACATTCAACTTCTCCAACAAAATATCATCCCTCTCCTTCATATCATCAAACTCCTCTTCCTCCTCATCCCCACCATCACCACTCTCCTCCTTACCAACAAGACGCTCCTCCTTCTCCTCCCCAGCGTTCTGAACATTATCACGCTCAATAACTCCGTAATTCGCAGGGTTGTTAGGATCAAAAGCCTCTCTCCACTCAACGAGCCTCATCCCTCTATTAATCTTCTGCTGAAGCATAAACTTCTCTTTCCCTTCCGCGACTCTCAACCGATTCATCAGCTCCCCGATGACTCTATACTCCGGCCCGAGGCTGAAATGCTTCTCCTCGAACTTATCCAGCTTCGTCATCCACTTGTAGGCCTCGTCAAGCGTCTCGGACTTCGTTAGCGTTTGGAGAAGCTCCTTGTGCCGTTGGAACTTCTTGTTGAAGATGTTCTCCTTCTTCCGTTCCTCTTCCCAGTCCACTTCGTCGAGCTCGCTATCGGAGTCGGAGGACTCCTCGCGGCGGTTGAGTTCGGAGCTGTTTTCGTCTTTTAGGTTTTGTTTTTTGAGTTTCTCGATGAACGGGGTGATCCCGAGGTGATCCTCTTCGTCTTCGGCGTCGATGTCTTTGCAGTCGAGGCCTTGGCGTTGCCGATCTTCTCTCTCGCGCTGCTTTTCTTTCTCGACTTCGGTTAGGAGGTCGCGGATTACTCTGTCGGCTTCGGCGGGGGAGATTGTGGATGCGGAGGAGGAGGAGGAGGAGAAGCGGCGGTGGTGGTGGTGGTGGTTATGGGAGGATGAGATCCATGGGGAGATGTGCCTGGGGAATGTGGATGATGAGGTGTTGAGAGTGGAGATTTGACGGAGGGATGAGGAGGATCTAGGGTTTCGGCGGAGGAGGAGGCGGGTGAAGGAGGAGGCGCGGGTTCGGAAGGACATGATTCAGTGGTGGTTCATCAGATGGAAATGGTGGGGGAGGAGAGAAACCTTTCTGCATTTTGTTAGGGTTTTTGTGTGGATCATTGGGCTTTACTTATAGGCCCAATATGATTAATTCCAGGCTGTAAAGCTTAGTGGGGTTTAGGGGCTAACTCTTCTTCTTGATTTTCAACTTAGTAAGAGCATCCCCTAAGGATTCTGAGGGGGAGTTCACACGTTTTTCGAGAGGAACAGTGATGAACCCGGCGCGCGTGGGTTCGTTGTGGTGAACCCGGTTCGTCACGGGTTCGCCACGTGGCGAACTGTGATTCGCCAAATTTTTTTTTTTTTTTTGAAAAAGTTAAAAAAAAAAAATATATATTTTTTATTCCTATGAACCTCTCCCCATCAGGTTTACTGATGGGGATGCTCTAACAACCTTGTATTTTTCTTTCTTTTTGCTCAAAAGTAACAACCCTGTATCAGTTTTAGACTTTTAGTTGGCTATTAAATAAGCAAATGAATTGAATTGGATAAAATAATGCATAGCTTGTGAAATTCAAATGGCTATAAAATAAACAAATTATTGAATCGGGTGAATTTCTGTGGGATAATATTTTCTAAAAAATACTCTCTCCGTTCCTAAAAAATCTATATTCTAGAAAAGAATTTTGTTTATAAAAGTTTTATTTTCTGCATTTTCAATGCATATTTTATTAAATAATTGTAAATTTTAAAAAACTTAATTGCCCTTAATAGATTTTTATTGGTTTAAAATTATGGAAAAAACTAATAACCAAAAACTATACAAATTTAATGTGTGTTTCTTAATATCTGTGAAAATCCTAGAATATAGATTTTTTAGGAACAGAGGGAGCATAAAATTAGCGTAAAAAATATTAGATGTAGACTTTAATGTTAAAACATCAGGGAATCTTGAATAATACTTGACTGATAAACAACATAGAAATCTGAAAATGTGAAAAAATAATTTACACATGGTAGCACATATTAAGAGTTTTCCATGAACAAGAGGAGTGTGAATGAAATAGAGATGGAGAGTAAGTTACTTGAAGCCAAATATCACATCTCACTGTCTTTGTTTCTCAGCTCCAGTTTACATAAAGAAGCAAGGAAGATAGAGTAAAGAGAGTATTCCCCTTTTGTTTCCCTGTCTATATACAAAACATTCACAACCGCTCTCTCATGTAATAAAAATTTACAAAAAACAAAATCAATTCTTGAGGACCATTGCCTCCATTTTCCTCTTCCTTGCTGCGTGTTTTAGTTTCTCTAGCGCCACAAGTCCCACCTGTCTAACCCTCTCTCTCGATAATCCTATCCTGTTAAAATTTTGCCAACAATACAACTTCAAAACGATGATGCAACCAATGGGTCAAAAAGAGGCTTTAAGTTTTGAATAACATACCGTTTGCTAATGTCTTCCCATGTGAGACATTCTTTGTCTAGACCATAGTATAACCTAATAATCTCCCTTTCCCGTTCTCCGAGTGTTGCACTTATAAGCTTGCTCACTTCATCCTGCAGTTTGACCAAGTAGTACAATTTTCATAAAAAGACACAACCAGAAGCATATAAATGTAACGTCAGTTATGACTGTTGGTTTTATTTACCTTAAGTGCCAACTCATCGTACCCGTGCCACGGATTGTTCTCCAAGCGATTGTCCGCAATGTACTGAGAATATTATAACAAAAATCAGCCAAATGTAATAATACTCTGTGTAGCATGGAAGGTGAAACTAAAACAGTTGTTTTTGTTGAAGAGAATCAAAAACAGAGACTCACACTGTGATGGGTTTCTCCAGGGAGACCGTTCAAAGAAGGGAATGCATCTCTGTCTAGCGAAAATATTTTGCTTACAGCCTGCAAGTTTAGTGAGCAATAATAAGAGCATTGGACCTCGAGAAAGAAAGGAACATTTTTTTTTTATTTAAATTACCTCTGTTGCATTCCTAACTTTCTTCTGTGACATGTTTAATGACTCTGCAATCCGCTGTAGGAGAAAAACAAGAAATTATAAAACATGAGAGATACGTAGACAGGATAAGCCACAATTTGTTCAAAATGTTTAAATAACATTGCTTTACATCAATGGATGGTGTGATCCCTTTCTCTTGAAGTCTAAGCTTTGCATTACGGATTAGACCAAGCCTTTCATGCAGGTGAGTAGGCAACCTCAAGGTTCTTGAGTTGTCCACTAATGCTCTTGAGACACCCTTTTACAAATTTTGAAACAAAAAGCATCATCAGTTTTTGTTTTCAAACTACATCAAAAACATCAGAAGTGAAGGAAGCGATATCCTCACCTGTCGAATCCACCAATATACATAAGTTGAGATTCTGAAACCTTTGGAAGAATCAAATTTCTCTATTCCCCGTAAAAGTCCGATAAGACCACCCTTCACGAGTTAAAAGAAAAAAGCTTTCAAGATGATGAAAACAAAGATAAACAAGAGAAAGGTTTTGGAAAATATACCTGAACAAGGTCAGACATTTCTGCTCCCATATTATCGTAACGCTGAGCAATAGACATAACCAAACGAACGTTGCTCATAGCTAACTTCTCCCTCGCTAGATGACATTCCATCAACCATGCCTGCAGCTCTGCCCTAGATATCTTCAAGGATACTGCAAGCTGTTCATCAGATGGCTCACACCCTAATCTATCCTTCAATCTATAATGTTTCCATCACACACAAAAAAAAATTTAGTATTGCATTCTTCATCCATTAGAAACCATTACACCACTAATGACCATTTTATGATTTTTTATTTTTTATATTACCTTGACTTATGCTCATCAAGACGAAGACCAGATTTGATTTTCTTGGACAAGCGCACGACTTCAGCGTGACTAAGAACATGGTCACTTATCACACCTTTCACATAACCTTTGACACGGCTGTTTTGGAACAAGTCCTCTGTAACCGCCTTAACATTACTTTTCTTCTTAGCACCGATCCTCCTTTGCCTCGCTGAAACCCCTGAACCGGTGACGTGAATCTTCTTCCTGGTAATCCTATTCTTCTTCTCAAAGGAAAGATTCCACTGTTTCTCTAACAAAGACCTCTGCAGCAACAAGAGTGCCTCAACAGAATGATCAATAATATCATCATCATCATCCTCTTCTTCCAGTTCCTGATCAGATCCAGGAGGTAGCCATGGTGGCTGCTGCACAGAAGAAGCAACACTCTCTTTAAGAGCCTTGGCAGATTGTGTGTGACGACTTGATGAAGGAAAGCTTGGACTTGATGTCTTTTTCGCAGTTATTCCACTTCTTGTATGGTACTGTGATGAACAGTGATCATTTACAGATAGAAACTTCTCTGTCACGTCTGAGTAGTAAAACGATGAACTCAACAGTCGTTTCCCTGCGTTGAGTCCTATAACTGCTGTTGTGGCCATCATCCCATATACTATTTTTAAGCTTAATTCATCAACAAGTAACACTCTTTATACTCTTCAAAGATCAACCTTCTCCTTATTGTCTTCTGCTAACAAAAATCAAACTATTTAGATATCATTACAAAACACAATTTAACTAACTTGAGACAACTGAATCAGACAAGTTGTAGGTATTTAAAAATATTAGATTCACCTTATCCAGCAAAAATAAATGGTTCAAATCATCATCACTATCCAAATTTGACTAATCCATTAAAATTCAATTTCCAAAAATCAAATTTCTGGGGGAAATAAACAATTAAGAAGCAGAATCATTCAAGATCAACAGAACATTTTCAAAATTTTGGAATAAAGAAAAACAGTTTTTGTAAGAAATCAATGTAACAGTTTTAGATTATAGAGCAAACTCAATTTGGCTCACCTGAGAGAAAATAAAAACTTTGAAAGTTCGAGAGGAGAGGTGTGTGTGAGGCACAGACGAAGCGAAAATGGGTACTATTTTTCCAGTTTTTATTTTACTCAAAAGAGTTTTATTGGTGGCCTAAGATTTTGTAAGAATTTTTTAAAAAGGGATATGTGGTGAAAAGAATTATTATTAGGAGAGGATATTAAGAATAGATATGGGTTGAAGCGATGGGATTGGTGGAAGCAGATACTGGCTCCATGTTTCTGTGGTCGTTAGCCTACTCTCGTCTCTCCTTTACATTTTTCACTATTTATTCGTTTTTAATGCTTTTTATCCTTTTCCTTTTTAAAAAAAAAAATATTTTAATTATTTCTCAAGGAGCTATCTTTTACATTTCACTATTTACTGGTTCCTTTACATTTACAACTAACAATTTAGCGACAATTATAAATTGCACTTTTTCTTTTAGAAAATACATAATTTCATCATCAAAAAAATACTTTTGCTAAACAAAACTTATAAACTTGATAACCAAATAACCTTAGATAATACCTGAGTAACCACAAATAATTTGGTTCCAATATTGGTGAAAAATATTAAAGAAAAAATATATAAAATAGCTTTATGTATTCTAGAATATGTTGACTTATATTAACAATTTATGTTTTTTTGTCAATGAGTTTGTATGTCATAGGTAATATGTTTGAAAATGGTGTATATTATATATGTTTGATGTTGTCTTGATCTAAGTATTTTACGAATAATAAAAATGTGAGTTCCGTATGATATTAGTCATAGTTCAGACGAACCCACTAACAGTTTGCAAACTGAAGTTTCAAAGCAGTAATTTGGAATTGATAGAAAATCCATTGTCGGATATTTGATTCTGAGATTTAAAGAATCGACCTAAAAACCTCAAATGAAATGATTGGATATGTGGTAGTATCATCTTCGATCAGGTTCAAATTGTTTAATTTGTCTTACATGATCTTCGCTTCAAACTATACTTTACATTCACTCTTTAAACATTTTACCAGTTTAAGATAATCTCTTGTTATTTTCTTTAAATAATCTCTTCGCTTCAAATTATTAGGGACAAAGTTTCACATCGGAAATTGGAAAGAATTTTATCTAATATATAAGATAGATGGACCATTCAACTTATCACCAATTGGTTATAAGTTGAAAGTCCATCTGCCTTAAAATCGTATCAGAGCCCACGATCCACGCAAGTCCAACCCGATCCTTATCGATCTAGTCCAAAGTCGGCCCATCGATCCTTACCCGAACATTCCAAGATTGACGCCAAAGAACCATCATCTCGAGGGGGCGTATTAGGGATAATGTCCACATCGGAAGTTGGAAGTAATTCTATCTAGTATATAAAATAGATGGATCATTCTACTTATCACCTATTGGTTTTAAGTTGGAAGTCCATCTACATTAACACAAACTATACTTTACATTTACTCTTTAAATATTTTACCAGTTCAAGATAATCTCATGTATAAAATTGAAAATGAAAAAAAAACTGATGGATAAAAAGGTGTAGAAGATAATGTTCATGTTTGTAAAGCTGAAGAACATTTTAAAATAACACAATTACAGATTCATATGCTTTTCCACATCAAATACAATAATTATCACATCGTATACATCTAAATATTCAGTTATAATATGCGATATAAGAAGACGTATAAGAACACTAAAAATTAATAGATAAAAATATAGTATAAGTTTATTATTTGTGAACAAATTATTAAACATCTTATATATTAAAACAGAAGTCATGAGTTGACTTCATGTGTGATTTTTTAAAAAATGGACTATTACTAGAAAATTATGTTACATTAACTCTATAATAATCTTATCATTATTATATCTTATGAAAAATCATATATATAATAACAAAGATACACTTAACAATTTGGTTTTGGTAAATTACTTTATACTTTCCAACTTAGTCACACAAAATATGTCAATAGATATAAGTTTAGGAATCTTCTATTATTTATAAGGAAATATGTCAATAGTAGTAAAATGCATCCTAAATATATTAACAAAAATCTCTATTATTTATAAGTAAATATGTCAATAGTAGTTAAATGCATCCATAATATATTAACAAAAATCACAGATTCGTAATATGAAATATTTATATACCCTAACAAAATTTACACGCTATATAGTAGATAAATTTAATTCGATGTAAATTTTTAAAATTAGATAATTTTTAAAAAAAGAAATTTTTTTAAAAATTAATTTTAATAAAATTCTTTATAATATTAATTTATGAAGCTATAAGTTTAGTTTTTAGCAAAAATTTCTTTGAAGTTTATATTATCTTTGCAAATTTAAATATACTAATATTTAATCAACCTCTATTTGTATTAATTTATATAAAAATGAAATACTAATCCAACAAAAAATAAAATATAGAAGAAGAAACAAACACATATTTGAAAAACATGTATAATATAAAAATTTTGAAACAATCTATTTGATTAACACACGTATTATATAATATTATTATGTTTGAAAAACATTTACTATACATATCGTTAATATGTGATTACTATAATATATAGTAATTTACAAGTGAAAACAAAATGTTTATATAACTAACTATAAACGAAAATAAACATCCGCGCGGTTGCGCGGGTCAAAATCTAGTTAATCTTTAAAATTTAAAGAGGATAAGAAAAAAGTTCAACTAAAAAAGAAAAGAAATTTACAAAAAAAGTCTAGAAAAGAAAAAATTCTCAGTTCTCGCAAACAAATGGTTAAGCCAACCGGCCCAACCCTGACTGCAAATGGATCCATAGCTTAGTGAATTTTACGAGATTAGAGCATGTTTATCCAAGGGTGCTTAGAGAAGTGCTTAGGAGGAGGAAGGTGCTTAATATGAAGAGAGAGAGTGTGAAAAGTGCTTGTTTAAGCACTTTTCACACTCTCTCTCTTCATATTAAGCACCTCCCTCCTTCTAAGCACTTCTCTAAGCACCCTTGGATAAACATGCTCTTAGTGTTTTCGCGCCTCTTTCTTAACAGACAACGTGAACCTCACGTGGATAAACCCAACCGACTCTGACCTTTTAAATCTTTTCCCTTCCCTCTTCCTCTGTTCAGCGCTTCCCCATTTTCTCTGTTTCCCAAGAAAATCCAGAGACAAAGAGAGAACGCCATTGTTGCTTTTCTCGGAGATTCAGCAGTAAGATTGGCCGATTCTGAATCTGATCATGGAGATGGAGCCAGCAAAGGTTCAAGAAGCAGGGAAAGTCAAAGAAACTGACCAGAAAACTGATCCGTGAGTCGTAAATCAACGTTAAGCTCCTACAATTACATTTACGCTTTCTCCATAGCGTCTCTCTGAAACTCATATTCGATATTCAGAGAAACAGAGAAATCTAAAGAGGAACCAAACGCCACTCGTGTTCTAGCTCTTGATATGATACTCAAGCTGTTTTATTTTCAACTGTAACAAAAAATGGCTACATCACCTACTTGTTTTAGAGGCTCAGCTATAAGGTTTTGGGTGAGGTTTCTTCTTCCTTATCTGTTGATGTCTAATGATATCTCATATCTTCTCTGTTCTTCCCTTTTGTACTATTTTGGAACTTTGTTTGTACCATTGCACCAGTGTTATAAAAAAAAAAAACAAAAAATGGCTTGATCTTGTTTCCTCAATGTGATCAAGAATGTGATTTTTTTCTTGCAGTCTCTATTGAAAATAAGCGTTTTCTTAAGTGATTTCTTGTTGGAGTTTTGTCAAGAAACAACACATCACATCTTCACAGAAGATGGTGAATACGCTGTTCCCCCATCGACACAGCTTCGTGACTTTCTTCTCAACAATCTAAGTGTCACTCATCATCCTCTGGTCTTTCTCTCTGACCTCTACAACACACTTTGTCTAATTTTTCTCTGTTTCTTCATATTTTTCTTGTTTCTTTTCTCTTCAGGAACCAAACGGTGTTTTCGACTTCTTGGTAACCATCTTGAAGCTTCTACCTCTCTGGAGAAGTGGAAATGGCGAAGAAGAAGAAGAGTCTCTGAGTTCTAAATTTGAAGTGTACGCAGTGGTGAAAAAGATTTGTAACAGGTGCAGGTTGGTTACGGAATATCCGGTTGAACGTTCTTACGGTCTAATCGTGGTTGCTAGTTCACTCAGGGACATCAAGGCAAGTCATTTGTGTTCCTGTTTTCTCACGTTAAGTGATGTTTAAAAAAACGTGTTTTGGTTATTTATCACAGTCTGCATTTGAGGATTTGACGTTTGAGAAGATCCTTAAGTTGGAGAGAATCACTTTGATGATGCCTTGTGACAAGGAAGGTTGTGGAAAACGAAACTATGTTGAACGTGTGATCAATAAACTTCCATCTGTTTTCACAATTGGTAAACACCCTATCAAGTTTATTTATTTCGTTATTACGAAGGAGAAGTTAGTTTTTGAGTTGTTTATAGCTCTAGAGTGGGAGAACAATGAGACTGAAGAAGAGATACTTGCTACCACTTCTGTTCTCGCTACTGAAATTGATATTAGTAAGATATACAAGTACCAAGGAGACAGTATATTCACTAAATACCAACTTGTGTCAATGGTATGTGTATCTAGTTCCTTAAGTTATGTTTGGGTTTTCCTATTGAAGATTATTGTTACCAGTAAGTGTAACCAACTCCTGAAGCTGTTGTAATATTAAGGTTTGCTTGTGCGGAGATCAATACAGTTGCGTAGCATATGAAAACAATAGATGGATCAGATACTTTGCTTCTAAGAAAGAGGTAAAGCTTGGACGTTTCTTGTTACAAAAAGCATCTTGACTTCCGACTTGTTTTATCGTTGGGTTTTGTAAGTAAAACTCTGTGAGCTGTGTTGCTGCTTGCTTGTACAGGTTCTTGGAGACTGGGATACTGTTGTCAGCGTTTTTTTAAAAGTGAAGGTTCAACCCGTGATTCTATTTTTTGAAAACGTAAGCAAGCTCCTACGACTGCATATTGCTTCATCAGTTTATTACGTGTTCTTAGTTCCACCAACTTGAATGGCAGGTTATGGGGAGAGATCAGATTGTGTACGGGAGCTTGGGGAATTTATTTGAAGACTATTGAAATCAGTGGTGCAGCCTGCAGGGAATGGATTTGATGTATATGCAGTACGTTAGAATTGATGCCTAGTTGAAAACTTTACAATGAGTTAGTTAGAAAAAAATGCTTCGGAGGTTTGAAGTTGTGACCATATCTGTCTTTTCTCTTCAGCTCAAATTTACCTCTTGATTGATATGCATTGAATAAAGTACTATTTTTCCACAAAACATTATGCATTTTGGTTTGATGTACTGACCAGTAGTAATACTTGTGAAGATAATCATAGAGAGATGCAGCTCGAAGATTTTATTAATTTCACAGTTGTGATGTTCAGTTCAGCACCTCAGCTAGTGAAAGTTTTATTTATTTGTTGGGTTTTAGTCATAAACAATGATATGGACAATACCTATACATAAAATAGATTAAGAAGAATTAATATACTTTATTTTCTTGATTTTAAAAATGAAACAAAAGAAAATAACATAAATGTGGATTGTATCTTAGAACATGATTAACCCCGGTTTCTTAGACCATGTACAATGCGAGAGTTGAAACTGAGTTTTAGCTGTTGAAAATTTTTCAATGAGTATGTTGATATATTGTGTTTATCTTCGTGGATTCAACAAGTGTTGTAAAGTTTCAACTCTTGTAAAAAATATTTGTGGGCATACGCGCCACATATTGCGTTTTGAATGGACATATTGGTTGTATGCTTTTAATTTTTATCATCTCCCAATAATCTAAATGTGTTTTTTATATAATAATAAAATTTTAAAAATAATAAAAATAATATCAAAATTTAAGATTTTTATATATAAGAAGAAACCATTCTCATTTCATTTGAATATAGAAAAATGTCATTTTTCCTAATATTAAATATTTTCGTGTTTTAAATATATATATTTTTTAACACTTAAAACTCTTTTAATATATAATTCTAATGTTTTAAATAAAAGAAAAATAGGAATTAAAAGTTTTGGGGTTGATGTTGAATTTTTTAAAACAAAATTATTGTAGAGATTTAAACTAATGTGTGCGTTGAATAAATGAGGTTAAAAAAAATGATCTCGAAGGTTAAAAGATGAAAATTAGGGTGTTGAAAATGGAGAGAATGTTGAAATCATTGTACATTGTCTTAGTTACGGTTCTTAACTCGTGAGATGACGCTATTTTTCTTTACACTTTTCGGCTAAGGAACGACTCTTATATATTTTATTTAATAGACGGTTCTTAGTTTCTTTTTAATTACAATCTTAAAAAAACTAAAAATTATCTGTTAGTCGAAGTTAAGAACCCCAGTCAAGAAACTAATGTTGATCATGGTTTTATTGTAATATGTTAAAAAAATTCTAATTTTTTGAAATAAAATATGAGAAAACATCCAAATAAACATCGAACTTTCAAATTAAAGTAAAAAAAAATGTCAATTAATGTTTTAACCAAAAAAATACTCCAATTTTCAAAATTGGCCATTTTGGAAACTCATTTTTGTTGACTCAGCCATTTTGGAAACTCGTACAAATCAACTGTCAAACTATTGAACATCTGTTAACTCGCTAAACGACGTCATTTTAAACTCATTAATACTTCTAGTTCAATACCAATATCACTATTCTCGGATTCATTATCATCCTAATCAATCGCAATATCATCTTCATCATTACTTTCTTTGTCGGCTTTCTTCAGTAGCTCAGTCGTAGATAATTTAACTTCCCTAACACTTTATAGTTCAGGTCTCTCTCTACGACGAAACCGAAGTAACCCCATCGTTCTAACCATCCTCTGCGTCGTCAGTAACTCTGGCTTTCAGAGATTATAAGATGGAAAGATTAGACAATTAGAAAATCTAGGATTTTAATTTAGGACTCTCATTTTGTGAAAAAGTGACGATTTAAGTATTTACATATAAAAACCGTCACTATTTAGTTTAGTTGTTAACAGACACTTACATATTTAACATTGACTTTTTCAGATTCTTAAATTGTCCGAGTTAACAAAAAATAAGAGTTAAAATAGCAAATATTTGAAAATAAGAGCATTTTTTGTAGGGCTGTTCAATATGGTGATACCGAACCGTACTGAACCGAACCGAACCGAAATAGACAATATGGTTTGGATTTGGTATATACCATATAAACCGAATGGATATGACTTTATAAAAACCGTAGGATTTGGATATGGTTAGGTTTATAACCGATTAAACCGAACAAAACCGATCAAAGAAAAAAAATATAAATATATACATTATATAACCATTTATTTTCTTGGACTAGTCTTTTTATTTTTATTATTTTATACCTTGTGAAGATATATCTTAATAATTTTATTTTATTTTCTTCAACTATTATCTAAATTTGATTTGATTTTACATGTTGTAAGAAATTGTGAAATTAGATTGTACCTTGTAATTTATTTAGGAGAACAAAGAGAAAATAAGAAAAGCTATACAAAACTGAATCGTTGATCGTTTTGTTTGTTGTTAATTTCACATTTTTATATTTATGAACATCTAGGATTATTTTAATAAATGATAGTTTTGAAAATATGTTTTTTAAAAAAATTCATATAATATGAAACCAAATCAAATAATAATGTTATTTGGTATAAAACCGAATAAACTGAAAACCGGTAGTATAAATGCCGAACCAAACCAAATTAAATATGGTTCCAATATGGTAGCTAACTTTTATAAACCGAATAACCGAAAATCGCAAAAAACCGAACCGAGACCGGACCGAACACCAGATTGAACGGGCCTAATTTTTTGCTTAAACACTAGTTAAAGTTTTTTTTTTGTTTTTTCGTTTAGAAAATTCGAGGTGTTTTTAGCAGTTTTCTTGATAAAATATAGATTTCTTTTTTGAAACTTGGGTAATATGGGCCCAAAGTTCGTAACGTAAGAAGACAGAAATGGTTGGGTACTTGGGTCAACTTAGATGAAACAGAAGATCACGCTTCCAGTGAGATCCACATAATTTTGGTTAAAATAAAAACTAATTAACAAATCAAATTAACCTCATTTTGTCATCTATCAGACGAGAAGAAAATCCAGGATCGCCATGGGACAAGTCTTCGACAAGCTCCGAGGTTAATTCTATTTTTATTCTGTTAAAATCGGTTTCAGTTATAATATGCGATGAAATTGGTAAAATATAGGTAAGCAGTGGAGGCAAAAACAGGTACAGACGATATGTGATCGTGTTTTCGATCGGTTCAAGCTTCAAACCGGAAGAGCCAATCTTTCCTTTGAAGAGCTTTACATCGCCGTGCTTCTCGTCTACAAGTAAGATGTTCATTTTTTTTTAATGGTTTTTACATTATTTAGAAATATTGTAATCTTTTCTTCGCAGTTTTCAGATTTGTTATGTTTATTTTCTCAGTGACATAAACAAGCGATTGCCTGGTCCTCATTTCGATCCGCCTTCTAAGGATCTTGTCAGAAGCATGATGACGGTAAATTTCTAGAGACACTAAACCCCAAACTAAATAGGTTTACTCCATAAGACCATTTTTTTTCTTCAAAATAAAGTAAATCTATAATAAATTTGGGTTCTTCTAATATATTCCATCCGTTTCGATTTACTCGTCGATGTTGAGTTAAATTTTTCGTTTTAAAATAAATGTTATTTTATAATTTCAATGTAAAATTTATTAACTTTATCTGCTATTTTATTTTTTTATTGGTTGAAAAGTGGTCAAATTGTGTTTTTTTTCTCAAAAATATATAAAATTAAATGTTTTCTTAATCTCTGTACATAAACTTAAAACCACAACTAAAGTGAAGAGTGAAGCGGAGAGAGTAGTAATGGGAAATAAATGAATTAATGTATTTATGGAGTAAACTTATTTTTACTCTATTATAGAGCGAAATGGAGTATGATTAAAGATCTTTAACTCTAAAGCTCTACTTTAGAGAGAAAAATAGAGTATATAGTTAGAGATGTTTTAATAGAGTTGATTCTATTTTGAATAAAAAAGTGGATTAATCCATTGGAGATGATCTAACACTAATGTTCATATTTGTGTTGTATGTTAATGTGATAGGACTGTGATATAAACATGGATGGAGAAATTGACCGGGAGGAGTTTGTGAAGTTTATTGAGCTGCTTACGGCTGACACATTCGCGGTGGTGAGCCAAGGTTTGATCATATCCTTGATCGTGGCTCCGACTGTTGCTATAGCTACAAAGAGGGCCACGGAAGGTGTCCCTGGAATTGGAAAAGTGGTGCATAAGCTGCCTACTTCAGTGTATGCTTCTCTTGTCACCCTTGCAGTGGTGTGGGTTAATTCCGAGACAAGTTAGAGGAGCTTCTGTGATGGCTAAAGCTTGCTATCAAAATAAATGTCTTTGTATTGAACTGGTATTACAATTTCATTTGCACGAAAATACAGAAACGGTTGATGACTTGATTCAACTATTACTCTATGAATTTGTTTTGTTATCCGTTTTAAAATACATAGCGGGCTGATTACTAGCTTTGTGATTTTACTCTTGATGGACAGCTAGTTCCATTTCAAAATTTTGATTCACTATTACAAAACCAATACTTTTTGTAAAACTAAAAAAGTTTTTTTTTTACTATAGCTAGTCTTATGTTAAAAAAGCAAGAGGATAATATATTATGTTTATTAGCCTAATTATTACAATTAAAGAATTTATTTAATATTAGTAGTTGACAGAAAAAAAATATTTCTGATAATGATATTTGGAAATGGGTACGTACTAGCTAGAGAGTAAAAACAATTAAACCATAAATATTGTTAGAAATTATATTTTGTAATTTTATACAAAATCACAAAAACTTTTAGATATGTAATTATTGTTGAATAATTTTAAACTATTTATATATGTTAAACTATATATATAATTTTATGATTGAACTATGTTTTATTTTCATTTTTCTAAAAATAAAAATATCTGTGTAATAATTTTATATACACGAAAGAAATATAATATTTATATAAAAATATATATCCGATAAGCTCTACTCAGGTACATCTTAATGCACCAATAACAGAGAAAGAAATTTTGATAAATATAAATAGTTCTTTAATATTTTTTTAAGAAGCTTACATCTTAGCACAATCACTCATCTTAAAAGACACAGTTCCTGCCACAGTATCGTATCCCACAAGGAAATTCATCTGCGCCAAGTTCCCATAGATTGGGAGCGGCTCATATGAAGCAAACGCAAAGCAATACAAATCTTCAGAAATTGCAACAAACGTATTCACCTTGTCGAGTTTCACATCAGCTCCTTTAAAATGAATAGTAATATCTGGAACTTTAATATTCGACCTCACATTGTAACATAGACTCAAAGCTCCCTTGGGATCTTTCTCTCGCTCTGCTTCGATTAAAGAAGAAACAACAGACTCCAACTCAGCGTAAAACCCAGAGGGCAATAAAATCAAAGTCGTACCGGAATCGATAATCATGTTCCCTTCTTCGGTTCCAAAGATTGAACCGTGGAACTGAAGTTTCTTGGTGCCTACGCTAATTGCCTCTAGGGTTAGGTAGTAGTACGTGTCTGGATCTTTCTTGACTAGAGGCGTTGACACAACTCCATCTCCTGACACCACACCCTTCGCTCCAAAGTTGATCGTGCTCGTTAGATCGGTTTCGGAGGTCAAAGGTACCAAACAGTAAGAGAATTTACCGTACCCGAGTTGTGAGACTAGTGACACGTGTCCTCCTCCAAGACCTATGATTCCTGAGTCCAATTCGTTGAATATTCCCACGTTATCAGTTCCACATCCAATGATGACATTTTCGAAAGACACAGGGCTAGATTCACCGAGAGTCACTGTTTCGATGGCCACGTCACCTTTGGTGTATGACTTGTCACCGTATTCAATGGTGTAGGAACAAGTACTGTCGTTGGAGGGACAAGAAAAGTCTTCTAGAGAACGGCATTGGCGTGAGGAGCAAGGAAGTTTTTTAAACGTTGAAGATTTTTTAGGAGCAAACAAGGGAGCCTTCTGGTGGTAACAGTTTTTGCAAGGCGTGCATTGAGTCCAAATCAAGTCGCTTCCAGTGTCTGCTATCGCTAGTATTGGGAACGGTGGAGTTCCAAGAGATATGTTCATGAGATACTCACCTTTGTTTGATGTAACAGCAGCTTGTGCTGAGTCTGGTGATGGAGGATTGAAACGGAGTGGTGCAACGTTGGTAAGGGAACGCTTGATTGCGTTTCTCAGACGTTGTGCATGCGTTTCTGCGGGATTGTAGAGAGGAGATTTTGGGGAATCGCGGTGGATTAGTTCGACCGTGAATCCATGTTTCGGATGGGCGTTTGCGTTTGCGTTTGAGATGATGAACAGAAGGGTGAGTAGAGTTGCGGAAATGAGAGAAGCCATTTTTCTGAGAATCTCTGTTGTTGAGGTAAGAAGATATTAAAACATTGTCATGGTTGACCATATAAATAATTTGATTTGTTACTGGTATTAGATGCTAACTATAGTTAAATGCTAAACGTATTTATGGTAAGATGAAAGAATTAAAGTGGTAATAATCTTTGACTGTTGAATGTTTCTTTTTGTAAAGACTACACCTGTATGTATCACCACTACAATGAATTTAGTTAGATTTCTTTCAAAATATTTACACATGTTCTTTTTTTACAACTTTTCTTTTTGTAAAAAAAATGTCACATATTAGTTTCACCATAGCTTAAATATGCAGACGGTATCCAACAACGGTATACAACAAGGCTCCCAGTAGTGCTGTGCATTCAGATTTTCGGTTCATATTATTCTGTTTTCGGGTTATTCGAGTTGGGGTATTTAAGAATCACAATTTTTTTTGGATCGGATCAATTCGGATAATGTTAGAGTCGGGTCGGATTTCTATTTTTTATAAAATCCAAATGGAATACAATTAGAAAAATGGTTCAGATTTGGTTTGGGTTTAAAGCCTAAAAATAAAAACAACAACAAAAATCGAAAACCCGAATTAAAAGTGGAAAAATATTCCAATAATTCAGGTTTTTGGATATTTTCTATTTATAAATTATTTTTTCATGTATTAAAATTAAAATAATTAATATTTATAATATATCTAAAATATTCGAGTACCCGTTTGGTTCCGGTTCAGTTTCGGTCTTCCGAAATTTAGAAAAAATAGGAACCGTTTGGATTTTTGTAATTTTTGATCCGGTTTCTCTCGATTTTTCGGTATGGTTCCAGTTCGATTTTCGGGTTTCAGATAATATGGCCAGGACTAGCTCCCGCAAAGAATCATGATCAAGTCTATCAAACCCAAAACTACGAGTATGGTCCTCTCTCTCTCTAACAATTAGACACAGAGATGCATCTGTTGTAAATAAGATTTTTTAAAAAAACAATAAATTCATTGGTAATTGTCGATTCCTAAAATCCACGAAGAGGTACATCTTTAGATATAACTGTGTATAGAAATTTACAATAGTTATCCAGCATGATTACATAGAAAAATTATCTCAGGTGAAAAGAAGTTACAATAACAATGTATTGCGTCAAGATGCAGTAACTGTATCCATGTGTTCGTCTCCTTCCTGTCTATCTGACTCAATAAGCATCAGAACAACTTGTCGCATCGATGGCCTCGCGACGGGAGACACACTCGTGCAAAGCAATGCTATCTTCAACACATTGAGCATATGAGAGACGATTCTCTCGTCTTCTAGATTTAACCGGGCATCAAGAACTCCAGAGGACAATGCATCTCTTCTTATGTAACTCCTTACCCAACTCACCACATCCCCACCTTGGTCTATCGGCTGAACCGGCGCTTTCCCGGTTAGCAACTCCAATAGAACCACCCCGTAGCTATATATGTCAGACTTCTCCGTAACTTTCATAGTATATGCATATTCTACAAAATGAAAAGTCTGAATTAAGTCCCTCTCACTTGGAATAATAGACAAAGACATTCATATATTCGGGTTTGGTTCGGATAACTCAGATTTTTAAAAAATCCAATTTTATTTGGTCAAATTTGGTCCGAGTTAGTTTGGTTTCAGATTTCAAAATTATAACTACATACTATCTAAAAGAATTAATTTAAATTAATAATTTAAATTATAAAATTATCCAAATTTAATCCGAAAACCAAAAATTCTGATACTTAATCCGAAAATTCCTCTTTATTTTTTTAACTTTTACTATGAATTTACCAAAAACCGGAACCGAATAGAACTGAAATTACTTAGAATATTAACCGGTTCCTAACTTTATTATCTGAACCGTAATCGAGATAACCAAACTGGAACTAAATCAAATTTTCTAAATATTTGAGCGGATGTCTACAGCTAACTTTTTGTCCACGCTTAAAACTGAAATAAAATTGTAAACCTAAAAGAAATAAATAAATTTACCTGGGGCAATGTAACCATATGATCCAGCAATAGCGGACATAGATTTTGAATGTGGCATATCAATGACTTTCGCTAGTCCAAAATCACCAACATGAGCTTCAAACTTGTCATCAAGCAAAATATTATTCGATTTTATATCACGGTGAAAGATTCTCGGCTTGCAATCATGATGTAAATAAGCAAGACCCTGAGCTGCACCAAGAGCGATTTTAAATCTCGTAGACCAATCCAAATCCCCCGAAGGATCATGTAGTATCTCTCCAAGGCTTCCTCTAGGCATGTACTCGTACAAAAGCAGATTCGATCCTTGGTGGTTGCAAAACCCATGTAGCTTGACAATGTTACGGTGCCTAATATTCCCAAGAGTTAGAATCTCTGCTCTAAAGCTGTTATCCACGTTGTTGTTGTTCCCTCCTCCTTCGTGGTTCGACGCTAGCTTCTTGACAGCAAGAGTGTAACCCGCGGGTAGAACTGCCTTGTAGACGGTTCCACAAGCACCTCTTCCAACTACGAAGCTCTCATCGAAATTATCAGTGGCTGCAACTAAATCTTGAAAAGTGAATCCTTCCTTTGGTGGGAAGTATATGTCTAAAGAGGCTTCAGACTCTTGCATAGAAGTGGTGATAGTAGTTCTCATCGGGCTGCTGCGTCTGATGAGGTAGACAATGAGAACAATAAGAACAAGAGAGACACCACCAATAACAGCTGCAGTTATGGCGATGATTTTGCTTGTACGGATTCCTCCATGCTTCGCCTTCGACGAAGAAGGTGAGAAAGGCTGTGTTTCAACACATTGCTCGTCCAGCGGCGGGCCGCAGAGACCTGTATTGCCAATGAAGCTAGAGATAGACAAGTTACGGAGATGCGGGATAGGGCCGGTCAAGTTGTTGTAGGAGAAATTGTAACCAAATAAACTCGAGAGATTAGCGAAAGAGCTCGGTATTTCACCGGAGAGATCATTGTTGTTGAGGAGGAGTAACTCAAGCATAACGAGATCACTGAGCTTAGAAGGTATCTCTCCGTTAAGCTTGTTGAAGCTGAGATTCAATGCTATTTGTAAACCGGTCAGACTTCCCAATTCTCTTGGAATGTTACCGTTAAACAAATTACCTCCCATTTGTAACTCGGTTAAACGAGTTAAATTCCCTAAAGCCAGAGGGATAGTACCGGTAAGTTTATTATTCGAGAGCTTCAGAAGCTCAAGCTGATAAAGAGAGCCTACATCACTCGGTAAAGTTCCAGAGAAGTTGTTGCAGCACATGTCAAGTCTTTGAAGCATCTTGCATTTAAAGATTTCAGGAGGGATCTCTCCTGTAAGTTTGTTGGATGAGACATTCAATGTCCCAAGCTCTGAGAGTGTGCCAATCTCTCTAGGAAGCTCCCCGGTGAAGGCATTATCTGCTAGCTGCAGTCTTTGCAAGGCGCTGCAGTTTCCGACTTCTCGAGGGATTAAGCCACGGAATCTGTTCTGACCCAACTCAATGGCTGTGAGGTTAACGAGCTTACACAAGTTGGTCGGGAACCGGCCCATGAGGTTGTTACCGGCGAGACGGAGCTGGACAAGAGTTTTGCAAGTGGTGATGCTTGTAGGAATGTTGCCAGAGAGTTTGTTTGCTCCTAAGTTCAAGATGATCATGTTGGAGTGAAGGCATAGGTAGCTTGGGATTCTACCTATGAGATGATTATCAGAGAGATCAAGAACCCATAGATTACTGTAGACGCCTAGTTTTGGAGGTATGTTCCCAGTAAGAGAGTTTTGAAAGAGCTGCAGCATGAAGAGCTTTCTTAAATACTGAAACCCCAAAGGGATAGGACCAGTTAAAGCATTGATGGAGAGATCAAGCTTTGTTAGATTCTTCAGAGTAGTTAGCTCCACAGGGATTGTGCCTATGAGTTGGTTCTCAAATAGATAAAGAAGCTCAAGGCCTAGTATGTTCCCAAACTCCACAGGGATTGTACCAACGAGTTGGTTCTCTGAGAAATCTATCTCAACTGCACTTGAGAGATTCCCAATCTCTCTAGGGATGGTTCCATTCAACATGTTTCTGTAAAGGTATAAATACTCCAAATACACAAGGTTCCCAAGATCTTTTGGAATCGGACCGACAAGCTGGTTCTTGTAGAGAGCAAGAGTTTGTAAGCTTGTGCAGTTGGTTATCTCATTTGGGATTAGCCCTGAGATCTGATTCTCCCAAAGAATCACCTGTGAGAGTCTCTTGAGCATACCAATCTCTTTTGGTATTTCACCACTCAGCTGGTTCTGTGCAAGACCAAGCATGACCAAGCTCTCACACTCACCAATCTCAGAAGGCAGACTTCCAGAGATCATGTTCTGACCAGCTCTGAAGCTCATTAGTTTCTTCAGCTTACCAATGGAACGAGGCAATGATCCACTGATGTTGTTGCTGTAAGTCACAAGTTGAGTGAGAGACAAGAGGTTCCCAATCTCCATAGGGATAGAACCTGTGAGCTTGTTGTTGTATATGATCAGCTTCTCCAATGACAAAAGATTCCCTATCTCCACTGGCACATCACCTCCAAACATGTTGTTGTTTAATCTAAGTACCACCAAGCTTGAACAGTTCCCAATTTCTTTGGGAATATTCCCTGATAACTCATTATATGATAGATCCAGATCCTTCAGATTCACCAATCCACCTATGCTTGGTGATAGATTACCAGAGAGAGCCATTGAGGAGAGATTCAGTGACAAAACCTCTTGATTGGAGTAATTGCTGCACCTCACACCGGTCCATCCACAGGGCATAGAATCATTTGGATTCCAGTTTTTCAGATTTTGCAATTCATCCACAAACTTGCTCTTGATCTCAAGGAGATATTGACCTTCTAAATTCAACCCTCTTGTCTCAGAGATCAAAAGTGTAAGAAGAAGGAGAACACACATGGAAATAACAGTAAGCTTCATCATCATCATCTCCTTGACCATTCATTCATCCACATAATCCATTTAAACCATCCTTTACAAGACATCAAAACAAGATGTTAGCATACCATAAGATCATCCAACAAACACACAAACTCAATTCATATGAGCATAACTAGTATTTTGGAAAGAAGAACACAAACTCTAAAACATGGATCTAAATCAAAGACACATACCTCTCTGAAGATTTTAGGCCAATTAAAGCGACCTTTCAAACTGGTTTCTTGAAGGGAGAAAAAAAATTAGAGGTACAGACCTTTTTTCCTTGCCAGGAAAACAATATTTAAACGAAATGGTCAAGCTATGATTAGTTATTTGATCATTAAAAGCTTTGAAGTTTGAAATTCGATTTTCCCGCAATAAAATAATCTCTAATCGTACTGGCATGCGTCTTTTAATATTAGTTTCAGAAGCTTTCAAGTGTAATGGCAACTTTGCTTTTGTTTATTTCAAGTAATAAAAAAAGAATCTGAATATTCGTTTTGTCTTTCGAGTTACCAAAAAGAAAAAATTTAAAGCTAAAAGTAGAAATGCTTTAAAATCATCATTTGTGTAAAAATGAAGATTTGAAATCATCATTTGTGTAAAAACGAAGATTTGAAACTTGATTAAAGAATACAGATATGGCCGACATGGTAGGAGAACTTGGCTTTCCTCCTTCTCTCACGATCATTTTCATTGATTATACTATTGTAAATTACAATTTAGGCAATCTTCGTGCACTTTTTTTATAAAGAAGATAAATTTAAGGTTTATTGCAAAAATAACTTAAATTTATGGTCAAACATAAAAATAATCTGTTTTTGGCAGTTCAACATATTTTAGCTTTGTTACATAACACGTTCAATTATTTACGAAAGTGTTATTTTGTCAAAAAATCACATAGATGTCTCAAACAAACTTATTACTTTCACTTATATACTAAAATATTGTTGGGGAAAAACGGGACACGGCGCACTGAAATATGTGTTCAAGTTCCCCTGAACTTGTGTGAATCTATGAGGAAAATACTTCGACAATAGTATGATATAGTATAAGCGATAACTAAATGAGACAATCACTTTTTACGTGGAACACCTCCTCGATATGAAAAGGAAAAACCATTGGACCGTAATCCACTCAACAATCTACTATATAAATGTATGTGAGTATAACCACGTTCTCTCTGTTCAACAACCTGAACAGAACATAGACTTTAGCTATAAAGAGTTATCTCCAAAACAAGAACAACAACAACAAGAGAGCAACAACAAAGCTTCAAAACCGGCAACAACCAAACGACCTCAACTCACAAGGATTCCGACAACCAGAGACTAATCCCACCGTACAAATCCAAGATAAACAAGTCAACAATACATCTGCCAAATTTTAGCTCAAACCGAGAAAATCTCACGGTCGGATTTACCAAACACTCAAGTCAGCACTGCTGAAAAACGGTGACGACCAACTTCACTAAAACCCAGACAACAGAAAATCCAACCGTTTAAATCCAAATCCCTCCAAAGAACCTTTAACCCACTAACTGAAGAAGCTTCCCACAAAATATCAGCCTAAACAGAGTCCGTTTTACCCTTCAAATCTACCTTGACAAACCCAGACGAAAATCTGCCTCTTCTCTCTTTTGTCTCTTTTCCCTCATTTATTTCTTCTTGTGTGTCTCCAAAAGTCTAACCACAAAATTAGATTAAGAAACTTTACATAATGTCTCAATAACCTTAAGGCCCAATACTAATGTTATGAATAAATATCATTGGTCGAACATCCAAATTTGGTATCACCTACCAAATCTAATGGGTTTCCTCTATGTAGAAGGAACCCAACAAATATCACCACAACCAGATTTATCAACCATCATTAACAACCAAAATTGAAACTCTAATACCTTAAATTAGATTTTTACTCACTCTTCTCTCATTTTTTTTTACACACACTTCCAACATCTCCCATTTTCTTTTTACTTTAATTTAATTATTTTCATTTTTAAAGTCACATTTTTATTAAACTTCTTTTTTCTTTCATCTGAGTTCAAAGATCTAGATGACCGAAAAAGCTTAACACAAACTTTCACTGAATTTAGATAATTATTCAATTAATTTTCGTATTACCATTTAATTTTCTGAAGATTTTTTGTGAATTATTCTGGTTAAAGTATCTTTACAATTGATTATTTTGTGAGTTTTTGAATATCAACCTCCATAGGAATTATGCTCATTTTCATTTGATTTCATAGACTGTAACACTATTTTAAAATAATAGAATATTTTTACACTGACATTAAAATATTATTTGTTTGCAAAAAAATGTTACACAAAACACATAAAAAATAGAACCAATACCTTTACATATATAATAAAAAATAAATAAATCTTAGTAATAGAATCTTTGTGTAAAATATCATAAAAGTTATGGCTATGAAATTTACCATCTATTTTTTTTTTCTTAAGGTGAAAAGTAAGAATACACTAGCGGAATATATATATATATATATATATATACTAGGTGATTTTCCCGTGCTCATGCACGGGTATAAATACTTATTAAGTAAATATACTATAATAATTGATTACTATTTACTTTTAATTTTTAATTAATTTATAATTTGCATACATGATTTATATTAATAACATTATTTTACTTTAATTAGACATATTATTTTAGAAATATTATATCTAGTCAATTTTATTATTTTATAGTCGATTTTACTGTTATTATTTGGATATATTAGATTACATTCTTTTATTTGAATTCAACTATAATATTTTTTATTCTAAATATATTAAATTTTGATTAATTCTATTATTTACTTTTAGGTTGTTTGCTGTCTCAGATGTCAATATATTTTAGAAAAGTTATTTATAACTTAAGATATATTATGCCTATAATGAAATATAAAATAATTTTGATTTCAAATTACATCAATCGATATAAAGATAATCTTTG